AATGTGGAGGAAATACAGTAACACAGAGAATAAAGCATGGACGGTCTTGCACTCAAATTCTGTCACTTGTGTGACCTTGAAAAAGTGACTTAGCTTCCCTGAGCAGCTTTCCTCATTTGTGAGCCAGGAACACTGTTGACCTCATGGAGTTGCTGTGATGGTTGCTGTGATGGTGTTCACTAAGGGCCTGCCAGCCACCCACTGCTCAGGAAACGGTGTGTGTGTTTACTGTTACTCACAGGTGTGATGAAAATGGCAGACTCAGGAAAGGAACAGTGAAGGGTGCTTTCAGATGCACTAACTTTGGAGTCTTTGCTCTTCAAGTCTGTTCACATTTCTCTGAGACTGGTGGTCACTCTGAGTCACTGCTGCCATGCAAGGCGCCCTTTGTGATGCAGTTGCCAGAAGGCGGGGTTCAGTCCACTGCAAGGTACCAGGGCCAGCAGGCTTGGCCCAGGATTCAGTGATTCCTCCATGTGAGCCAGTGTCTCTGATGTGGTCAGTTGACGGGTTTGCATTGAGGAGCAGTCTGTCTTGCTGACATGGAGGAGTCAAACTCCCAAGAACAAAGGAGTTGAACCATTCTCAGAAGGTGACTTCTGAGCGGGCTTCACACTGAATTGGAGGTTCCCTTTCCTACACTGAGGGCGTTGGACCAGGTGGCAAACCCAAAGTGATTGCTTGCCAGTTCAGTTGCTAAGTCATGTCATGGAAGAAATAAGGAGAGTAAATACTGCGGGAACATTCTTGAGTTGAACCTGCTCCTAGCAAGGTAAATTTCCTGGGCATTCAATGGGTTTGCACTGACATGAGATCTGCATTAAGGGCTAAGTCACTAGAGAACCACATAAACACTGATCTGAATAACTCTGCAATTCACGCTCGTCCAAAAGTTTGGTAGGATAATTACTTAGGGCAAACAGGTGTGAAGCGAGACGGTGTACAGAACTGAAGTAACAGCATCTACATCAAAGGATTGTTTGGAGGGCAGTGACTAACTGTAAAGGGTTCAGACCAGAGCCTGGCACATGTTATGTAAGGGTAGCTGTTTTCATTAACATCAGCACTTGTCCAAATATACTACTGAAAATACACCAGCACAAATACTAACTCCAATGGATGCCGTAGGTCATCTTTACTCTGCAACATTGAACAAGCTTAAGTGAGAAGCCTGACTCCATTTGTGCGTCCACAGTATCATTTATCTTTTTCCCCTTGACCTCGCCAGACTGAGACTTGAGGACAGAGGCCACAGACTGGCCCAGCATTCCGGATAGAGCTTGGCTTCACCTAGTACGCAGCACTTGCTAAATAATGAGAGTGAGCCATTGAAGCCAAGATGGTTGTATGCTATTATATCCTGCCTCGTCTTCCTCTCTCATCCAGGAAGCAGAGCTATACTCTAAGCACCACGGTCAATCCTTCCGCATCTTTACACAGGGTGCCTTTCAAATGTCCCCTCTGTGCCTCCTCTCGACAATTCCGTGAGTCCATCTTCTGAACTCCTACAGCACTTCTTCAGTAGCCACCTAGACATCCTGTGCTACCTTCAGTCCATGTGTCAAATTCCAAACTCAAAACATCTTTGGAAATGTTTTGCTCAGCCCCTCCTGCCTCCGGGGGGGCACCCACCTTTCAGCACAGCTCGACAGGCCCATGGCTTTCTTTCTAAACTTCCACTGCCTAATTGCTATACCAGCTAAGAACATTTTGATGGCAAGAAAATTCAAATCAAACTTAAGCACAGAGATACTTCTGTTTCTCTCAGGGAACAGATGCTTTCAGGCAAAGATGAGTCTGCAGTTAAAAACTGATGTCACAGAAACTGCTTTTTCTACCCCCCAGTTTTGTAGATCTTTCCAAGATCTCCATTCGCATGCAGGTTGCTCATGTGGCAAGACAGGCCCAGAATTCCTCTGCAGGCTCTTAGCAACTGCTAAGGAGAGTACCTTCTCTGGGTCCCCGAGACCTCCTGAGAATAGCTTTCATTTTAACTGGATCAAATTCCCCAGCCAGTTCCTGGGCTGGGAGCTGGGGGCGGAGTATCCAGGTCTGACTGTAGCCATGGTGGGGCTGAATGACACACATGAATGGGGGAAGCGGATGGGGTGGTTCTCTATGCAGTGTGACATCTGTAGAAGAGGATTTGTGCTGGGCAGGTTACAAGCCAAGGAGAACATGCCACAGTTTGAGAGACAGCAGAAACTATTTGAAGTGTGTGACACAGGCACTGAGAACAAAATTAGAATTGGCAAGACTCAGGCGAGGCAGGCGTCAGAGACGGCAGTGATTTCTGGGTAGCAGTGTCTTCTCTGAGACTGGGAAGAGACAGGAAAGGAAGAAAGATAATGAATTAACATGTCAATTTTGAGATGTTTATGGAGTCAAGTAGGTGGTGACGTCCAGCTGTGAACTGCAATGTGGGGTCACCAGTCAGGTAATGGTTGAGGTCACGGGGACCCATAGGCAGGAAGACAGAGCAGCATCTCAGGGCCCACTTGGCTGTGTGCACGGCAGGCAGGGGTGTTTGTACTCAAGGCAATCAAAACAGCTGGTTGCTTCAGTTTCATTTGAACATTTATTTTTAAAGTTCTTTTTTTCCTCCCTTAAATGGGAAAATAACATCTTTAGAACAAGGAAAGCAGTGTTTACACCTTTCTTTTTTTAACTCAAAATATTAACCATTACCATCTACTGTTAAGAAATGAATAGGGCCAAGTTCGCTAGAAATGCTACATATAAAAAGGCTTATAAAGCAGAGGCCACTGCACAAACCACTCTCCTCACCTGCTCCTCTCACCTTCCTGAAGCTAACTTTCAAAGCATCTAATAAAATGCACCTAAGTATTTAAGGTGAGCTGCAGCATTTCTTACAATGACATCAGTTAGTTTTCGGAGAGGCTCTCGCTTTGAATTACGTTTCAAATGATGTGTCATCAGGCAAGCCTCGTCAAGGGAGTCCACAGACACTCCAGTGTTGCCTCATCCCCAGAGAATCTACACCTGCCAGAAGCCTGCCTTACACCTCTAAGTGGCTTTGGTGTTCACTGTTAACATGTGTCCTTAACTTACCTGTGCAGAAAAGCCGCGGGTTCTGCCTGAAGGCCTGAGTCATCTATGATTACTGTATTAAGATCCTCATTTATTGATAACTTTCAAACTCTACCATCAAATGCTCATGTCACTGAGTGTGCAGTGTGAAGACATGCGTTACGCTATTTTACAACATACGCTGGTCAGAGGAAGCTTCCTTTCTCCAGCCTTCTCAACAGCAGCCTCTAGAGATGCTCCACTGGGAGCTTTAATTATAAGTTGAGAGCTGTTTCATGAAGAAAATATTTAGGGCGAATCTCTGAAAACAACCTGGGAGAAAATCTGAAAACACTAAAGTAAATCATGTTCTAATTGTCCTAAGCTACAATGTATTTAGCACAAAATGTAAACAACATATTGCAATTTAATTAGCTTTTTCTATTTTACTGGCTATTTAGATTCTCCCAGGGCCTTAGTCAGCTGTAATTTTAACATTTGTAGCACAGTATAGAGCATGAATGCTGATTAGGTGGCACAGACTAGCCAGCCTGCCAACAGACCAACTGTCACATCACGGCTGTGATCGTCTAGCACTTTCGTAATAGCCTGATCAGGAATGCAGAGATGTTCAGTATCACGTGAGGGTCACTGCTGCGCAGGCACCGTTCAAGTTGGACACTAACGAGCTTGCCAAGTTGGACACTAACGAGAAACTCCTGCAGATAGCCCTTTGCAGAGAAGACAAAACCCACCTTAAGCTTAGAATGAGAAAGGTGGCAAGTCTATGAAAAACTGGTGTCTCTTTTGTGTCCCTATTTTCAAACCTTCTATTTCTATCTATGATCTTGACATGACCCCAGCGGTACTCTCCAAGTAAAAGTGGTATTTAGAATTTGGCTCACTGCAGGAGAAGTGGGTGGATAAAGGACAAACTGACAGAGGGAGAGAAGAAAACAATACAAGCCTTATTTAACAGAACATTCTTTGTGACACCCCCCAGGTGAATGTAACAGAGCCTTGTGTGAAGAAGTTCGTTCTAGTGATTAGACTTACATGACCGTGTAAGGCTTATCCCCACCCCCTAGTATCTGCTGAAAATCTGTGGGACAGTAAGGGAGGATGAATATGAAAGCCCTTTCATTGGGGGTGATATGACTCCCCCCAAGTCATCTAGAACACTTGCTCCTGAAAGCAGTCACATCCTGCCAGTCATTTCTGATGCAACAGGCAGCCATAACTGCACGCAACGGAACCTGTCAAGTCTCTAGAGGCTGATGTCTAAAGAGTGTCTCAGTTCAGTCCACTTCAGCGAGGGCCAGGGGCACATGTCAGCCTGGGTCAGGGTTCTAGCCTTTGATAACAGCAATCGGTCTCAGTTTAATGGCCTTCTTGCTGATTCCAGCATCATGGCAGGTGTTCACCACATCAGTCACATTCTTGTAGGACTCAGGAGCCTGCAGGAGAGGAGTTAACAGTAAAAGCCTACTTAGGATGGAATCGTTAGAAGCATTCAGCTTCACCTGTAATGAGGTTTTGTTTATCCTTTCAAATATGCAAAGAGTAAAAGAAGACTTAGCTCAGTGCTGGGAAGGAGACTAGTAAGATATCTATATCTATATATATATGTGTGTGTGTATGTATGTGTGTGCACATACACACACATATACACGTGCCTGCATATATATATATATGTGTATATACACCACACAAAATTCATTTCTGAATTTCTGGAGCTCCTCTTTCTTCCCACCACAGAACTTATTTCACCACATAACCACCACTCCCTGTCATATTAACAGGATGTTTAGGCTTCCAGAAGTCACTCCTTTCCAGCACATCCCTCATTCCCTTCTGATTTCTGAAACTTTCCCACTGAAGCCTCCAGAATTCCCATCCAACAAGTCAATTGTAAAATCTCCCCACCTTCCCCTTTATGAACGTTCCCCTTACCCCTTGTTCTTTCTGAAAGGTGGATGTCCTCTGAGTATATTACTGATGCTCCCAATTCTCTGAAGTAGCAGCTGCCGTCTCCTAAACTGGGTCACGCCACTAGGCCCAGACGTGACACCAGTACCTTTGCTCTCTAGACCACTCTCCGTTCACCCCTAGTTATGAATCTCCCAGTCATCACTTACACTACCTCTTACCTCTTCCTGAGCAATTATCTGCTAGAGTTTGAATCAATCCCCATAATTACTTGATGATTTCTAGCTTCTGGCCACTGTCACTGTCGCCTGATAAAGGTCTGAATGTTTTCAATATCTAGGAAGTGAACCGTTTCAGTACTTGGTTTCCTAGTCTTTGATTTCTACTCCTCCACTGCTAACCTCAGTTTTTCACTCCTGTAACTCGTCACTGCCATTGATTATAACTCTCCCATTATCTCAGTTTTGAGTACCCCTGGCCACCGACCAGAGCCTGGATCTGCAGCTCCCCACTCACATGCTCCACCACCAGTAATCCTTTAAGTACCTAAGACTTACATTCCTTTGCAACACCCTCAACAACCTTGCTTTTCTTTCATGTACACTTGCAACCTTGAGTAAAATTCAACATCTTTTTTATGCCTATACCTACAGAGTTGAAATGTAGATTAAAAAAAACAAAACAAAAACAAAACACCCAACTGCTGAATTTAGCTCAAGTGGGCCCTTGGTGTTGTCTGGCAATCACCTGAAATTTCAGCAGTCACTTATGCTTTCTCTCTCTTGGATGATTATTCATAACCTTCTCTGCACGCTTTCTATTAGCTGCTTATCTAACCTCTTACTTCACTGAGCAAAAATAGAAGCAACCAGAATAGAATCTCCATGAGATTGATACCTTCACCATACCTCTGCTTATCTGCCCCAGATCCCATCTCTTCTATCTAGTGAATGTCAATATTCCAGTAATCCCCTCGCCTCCGCTTGCACATAAATTTCACTTCTAGATTCTTCTCTTTAACAGGTAAACACAGTAGTCAGATCATGTCATACCATTATCTCATAGTAAAAAAGCAAAAGGTTTTTGTAAAGGAAAACCCCCCCGGGTTTGGCGCCCCCTACCCCTCGGACTGCATATGGCTCATGCCACAGTGGCCTCCCCAAACATGCTCTGTGTTCAGAGGTTTTCCCACTTCCAGTTCTCTATGCCTGACACTGGACACCTACAGTCTGCTCCCTTGCTCCCTTCAGGTCTTCACGCAAACATCACCTCTCACTGTACTTAAAACGGCATCATTCTTACTGGTTCTGATCCCCTTTCCCATTTTTACTCTATAGCATTTCTTAACTTAGCATCCAAAGCAGCACACCTTGTATTACTTGCTAAGTTCCATAAGGAAGGATTAGGAAGGGATTTATGTTAGTTTTGCTCACTGCACTATCCATGGTACCTAGAATGCTGCTTAACTGTAGCAGACATTTAATATGTATTAGCTGAACCGGGTGAATGAAAACATTGTATGCAAAATATCTAAGTAAAAAATATACCATATGTGAATAGTGCTTATTTCATTTTAGTGGAATTAGATGTTTCATTTGCTTTTTTTGTATTTTTAAAACCTCTTATTAAATTTGTGTTATTCTTAAAAATCAGTGGGGAAATTAAGTTGTTTCAAAAATTGAAGTTTTGTCAGACCCTTTGGCTCAATAATTCTATTTTCTGAATTTCAAGCTATAGTTAAAAAATCTGATTAAAAAGTTTCATGCATGGGCCCTCCCTGGTGGCGCAGTGGGTTAAAGCACAGAACTGAGAAGCTAAAGCCACTTCCGCATGAGTTCGATTCCTGCCTGCCCCTGAGGTGACCACATGGCGCGGCAGACCTCTCCTGACCCGCCCACTGCTCCCCTCAGCAGTGTACTTCGTCGATCTGCCTGTTCTGCTCCCCACTCTGTTTCTGGTGAAGCCTCTTGCCGCCCTTGACCTCTGGACTGTACCCCAGCTCTGTATGCATAAATAAATAAATCTTTAAAAAATTAAAAAAAAAAGTTTCATGCATGAAGACACTCACTACAACTTGAAAGTATCTGTCAGCTAATACCATAACTACGTAAAAATTATGGGGAAAAATGGCAGTAAGTATGCTTAAAAAGAAAGCTGTGTTAGGGCACTGAGTTTTCAGATGACCATTTTTCTTTTCTCTTAAACTCTGGAAGGAGTTATATGATTTGTAATTTAGATATGTAATAATATATACATAGGATTTAAAAATTTTGCTCCGTTACTCAAATAAAACTGTCTCCCTATTTCCCCGATCTTTTCAAATGTGCTTTCAAATATAAATGTATGTAGACAGCTGTGCAAAGGGAAGACTAAAGTGCCTCAGCTCAAACTATTTCTAAAACTTAATATGCAGATGGACCATACACCTGAAAGGTAAAAATATTTTTCATGGACCTGGCTTTTAAACACCAAGCAGAAGAGAAAACAATGATAAACAGTGATTGAGGTTATTTAAAAAAAAAAAATTCTTGTTAGTAAAACATAAAACCCAATTTTTGTTAATATAACCAAAAATTGTGGGTTTTGTGCACTGGCTTAAACAGTTTTATGTATTTATCAAAGTTTCATTTACCTCTTCCATAACCAGCTTGGGTGAGGCAACGCGAATTGCAATGCCCATATCTGCCAATTTGTCTAAGACATCCTGGAAATCCAAATTACGTCGAGATTTTGCTCGGGACAGTGCACGGCCCTAGAAAAGGAAGAAATAAACTTCACTTTATAAGTTCTCAGCTCAAATTATGTGCAATCCCAGAAAATATTTAAACCTCCAGGGAACAAACAAGCAAAACCTCAGGATGTAAAATTTTCTTGATTTCTAAAAACTAAACAAAAAGTTAAAAACAAGCATTTTTTATTTTATAAACCTTACTATATGCCTTTTATACAAGCCTCATTCTACCCATTTGGGAAAAAAACCTTCAACTTAAAGCATTCTTTATTGAAAGATTTAGTTTTATGTTTCTAATTACTGTTAATATCCATTCAATACATTATTTTTAATGTAAACAGTATGTATGTCTACACAAAAACTGTGCTCTCGGTGTTTTAAAAGTCTGTTGCCCTTAGCACTACGACATGCTGGGAACAGACAGCTCTGTGCTGGAGGATGTCCAGAAGCATCCCCGGCCACCACTTATCAGCAGCCCTGCTGTGAAAATAAAACATGCCAGACGGGAGAAGGGAACCTTACCTTGGTTACTGGAACACGGCAATGCCCGTTTGTTTACATACTGCCTGTGGTTACTTTTGTGCTATAATGGCACAGAGACCATATGAACCAAAACGGCTAAAGTAGTTGTTGTCTGGAACCTACAGAAGAGGCCCTGTGATGAAGTGGGTGTGCAGTCCTTGCATATCTGCTCATGAGGGCATCTGTCCCCCAAATCTTGAGCTGACCCTCTCAGTCAGAAATTATGCAAATGATCAGTTACAATTAATTGCTGAGATAAACTGTGATGTAAATTCGCATCAGTTTGCAAGTATGACTAGTTTTGTCTGGATTTTCTGGTCTTGCAGAGATGTGACCCTACAAAGGGTCACACTGAGATACCAGGTGACCCCACTTAGGCTACTAAACAGCTTATGTTATGGAAATAAATTCAGGTAGAAGACAGATCCAAACCTCACCTTTGTTGACACTCAATTAGGTACATAACACCTGTCAAAATGTAAACAATGACTGAGCAGAAAAGAGCATTTCTAAGTAAATTCCTGTTCTCCTTACCGCTCCATGACAGGTTGTTCCAAAAGTCTCAGTCATGCCCTGTTCAGTGCCAGTAAGAACATAACTACAGGTTCCCATGGTGCCACCAATCAGCACTGGTTGACCTGTGAGCTGAGAATACAAACAAATTGGACATGTTAACAAATCAGGAAAGCAGGAACCTTATACTTGGGATGGAAATTTCCCCTTCCACTGGATGGAGAATTGTGGGAATAACTAGGGCCTCTAAATGCCCTGCTCTCACAACTACATTAAGAATTATTTGCTTTCTCTGGTTAAGTGGGAGGAGAGGGAAGAGGAAAGGAAGCCCAGGAAAGCTGCCTAAGACAAGTAATGTAACAGTAAAGCAAAACTGGAAGGTGGGGAAGGCTACCAGAAGAACATCGTGGGCAAAGCGGCTGCTCTCGCCAGGCTTCCGTTTGCACATCTGTGAATGGGCAGGCGAAGGGGGTCTTTCTGCTGCCACAGCCAGACACCAAAAGGGCAAGCAAGAGGCACGGAACAGACTGAGTCTGATCCTGATTCTTTCCCCATCATTCTTTCCCGATCATTCCAAGGCCGTCAAGAAGACTTCAATGGGCATGAGCCTCTCCGACAGCACACTGGGAGCATGCGGAGTGGGAGGACGAGTCACTGCTTCAGAGAAGAGTGGAGGTAACGGTTCTCAAGGGCAACCGATCATATCCCCTCACAGTTGCCGCTTTCCTGTTTAACTTCACCCATGGTTAGAACGCTAAATCGTGCCCCCACTGCTTAAAATCACACACGACTTAATACATACTTGGTAATCAACAGCTATGAGGGGGTGGTGCGGAGGAAAAGCGCGGGTGGATCCCTTCCGGTGTACTAACAGCGTCCGCTCCTTTCCGTCCACCACATGCTGTTCCACTTTGGCAATATTGTGAGAAACGTCGTAGATCACATGGAGGTCCAAGTCGTCAGGGGTTGTGTTGAAGACCTTGGCAAAAGCCTAAGAAGAAAGTCGACATTAAAGGCAGGCAGAACCAGGTCTCCAGAACGTCTCCTGTGGAATTCAGTTAGTCTGTTTTAGGGAGTGAGGATGTAAGAGTGCAAAAATTAAGCTTCATGTAAAGGACAAAACTACATTTTAGACTACAAAGCAAATTCTTTTCCACTGATTGCAACTGACTGGGTCCTCTTGCTCCTACCCTTCAGAACGGCTTTTTCCTCAGCTTTCTGAATCTATGCAGATGGTATGCCTATCTCTTCTGCTATGAAAGGCATATTTTAGGAATAATTTTCTTTTCTTCCTTCATTTCCCGTGCCTGATAACCTGCTGGTTTAGTTGAAGGAGATACCGAAGGTGTGGACACTTACCACTATTTTATTACATAAATTTCTCAAACCAAACTCGAAGATTTTGATCTGAACAGACTATACTCCAAAGCATCAATTGCATCATAAATATAACTCAGAACAGAAGAGCAACTCTGAGTGTACCTGACGGGTTAAGAAGGTCATGGAAGAGCGGTTGACCCAGGCATAGTTGCCAGCAGCTGCCATTCCCTTCAGGTAGTCCTGGCCCTCAGGGGATGCGATTCGAGCACAAGCCAGCTGACGGTCATTGACAATAATCTTGTCTCTCTTCATAGCCTTTTCCATAGCAACCAGTGCATCTGGAACGAGAGAGGAGCAACAGGTCATTTTCCCTCTGGAGTCCAGAGTTATGGACTAAAGATTGCCTACACTCAAACCCACTCATAAAAAGCAAGTAACATACAACTTTTCCTTCAGTGTTTGAGTCATCAATTTACTTGGTCAAGATACACTTATGGAGACAGAATCTTCTGTCAACTGGATACTCCTAGTTCTGTGGGTGCCAGACAACATCCACCCACTAGAAACTTGTAAGGGAATGAGATGAGTTCCTAAATAGCAAGATAGTCTTAGATACTCCTTTCTTGGTATGTGAATGAGTAAGAACAGCAAAGATAAAATATACTTTTTTATACCATAGTTTAAAAAAAAGTGGGAATTAAGTGGCTAGATCCTTTGCTGAAAATCAAATCCACGACCATGTGTAGGGAATACACAGCAGAAAGTCAAGAAACATCGTCAATATATCCTTCAAATAGATTTAAGTATTCTAAAGGGTCAGACAGGCACAAAGCATTAAATTCCCATAGGCTGACGAGTACATACAAGACAGAACTGTAATATGAAATGTAAGATCCATCATAAATTTCATGTGTCCATGTTTTCATGTTCATAAATCTTTTCATATATTCTACAATCATCCAAAGTAACCTTCCCAGTATTTCTCTACCTCCAGCTTTTATTAAAGTTTTTGTCACGAATGTCCTTCACGTGTGGCTATCCAAATGGCCGGTGTCATGTGTTCATAACATCTTTTTATTTTCTTTTTCTTTTTTTTTTTTTTTTAAGATTTACTTATTTATGCATACAGAACTGAGCAAAGGCCAGAGGTGCAGGGGCAGTGAGAGGCCTCACCAGAGACAGGGTGGGCCGACTGATGAAGTCCACTGCTGAGGGGAGCAGCTGGCGGGTCAGGAGAGTCTGCTGCGCCATGTGGTCACCTCCAAGGGCCAGAGGTAAAACTTGCATTGAAGTGACTGCAGCCAGCTTGCAGTGCTGCTCTTTATCCCACTGAGGGCCCCCCCTTTTTAAAAGACTTATTTATTTATGCATACAAGAACTGGGGTACAGGCCATAGATGTGGGGGTGAGAGAATTCACTAGAGATACTGTGTAGCAGAACAGGCAGATCTACTGAAATACACTGCTGTGGGGAGCAGCGGGTGGGACTGAAGAGGTCTGCCACTCCCTGTGCTAAGGTACTGGACGATAAGCATACTCACTGAAAGATGCTAAGATCCCCTGGACAGGGAATGAACGTGTGCTGCAGTGGCAGCAATAGCTTCATAGTTCTGCGCTTTAACTCCTTGCGCCACCACAGAGGGCCCCACTTTTTCTTTTTAATAATATAATAGTTATTTTACATCATTTTGTACATTTTTTCATCTCAGTTGTAACCACTTTTTCTTTTTAATGTACATGTTTTTTCACAATCCGAGGGAGGAGCTCTGGCCTTTTACATTACTGAATCCACTTTAATATATAATCTTGCCGAGTAAGTATCTCAGGCATATTTTTTCACTGACTGTCTCTATCACAAACTCCACAACTGAAGGTCTTCTTTGCCCAAAAAGTAGTATCAGTAAGTAAAGAGAACAACTGAAGCTGATGTTTACCGAGCGCCTAAGTGCAGGGGACTGACTTAAGTACTTAGTGTATCCTAGTTCATTTAGCCCCCTAGATACCATACAAAATAAATCTTATTCTCACTATTTTCTGATGGGGAACTGAAGGTCCAGTGAAGTCATTTAATTTATTCAAAATCATATGTTGGTTAGGAGAACCAGTGTAAAACTCATGTAGTGTAGTTCCAGAACTTCCTTCAATTTCTTTATGGCTTCCCGCAAAACATATTATTTTATGGTTCATACAGCATAGTTCATACAGCACACAAACATGTTTGTTGGTTGCAAGTCAAAAATCAGGACCAAAAAATACCTGTGGCTACTTGGTGGCCCAATCCTCTGCTTCCACTGTGGATCATGACACACACCTGTCCCTTATGGTCGATGCCCATCTTCTTAGCAGCATACTCATTGAAAATCTCATCCACAACCTGGATTTCTGCATAGTGGTTGCCTGCTCCCAGGGTTCCCAACTACAGGGGGGAAAAAATAGATACAATTTCTGCACTGGCAAAATGCAGCTCTACTGAAGGTGTCTTTTTCTTTATTCTTTTCCTAATAAACCCGCTCTTTTAAAATGTTAAAAAAAAATTGATAGAACAGTCTCTACCTTGGTTTAAAAATATATCCATTTGAAAAGCAAACAGGGCACTCCCTGGTAGCACAGTGGGCTGAAGTGCAGCACTGCAAGCTAGCAGCAGCCACCCCAATTTGAGTTCAACCCCCGCCCCAGAGGTGACCCACACGGCACAGCAGACCTCTCCTATTTTGCCCGCTGCTCCCCTCAGCAGTGTACTTTGTCAAGCTGCCTGTTTGGCTCCCCACTCTGTCTCTGGTGAATCCTCTCACTGCCCCTGCACCTCTGGCCTGTACCCCAGTATGTAGGCACAAATAAAACTTAAAAAAAGAAAAAAAAAGGCAAAGAGCCAAAATGAATCAACATAACTGAATAAGTATATAGTGTCTTATGTAACAAAATAATTTTTCTAAGCCTTAGAAATCTGAAACAATACTCCACACAATAAAAACGAAGCAGCTCCTGATGTTTACTGTATCATCTATATGAGGGATACATATTTGAAAAGCCTCAATACAACAAAATTCAGACTATTAAATGGGTGCTGACTATAATGTTCTAAGAGGGGATTACATGTCAATGAACACATGAAAATCTTAAACTTTATAATCCTACCCCATTTTTCTTTCATCCACTTTAAATTCACGATATCTTGTTCTATTTTATGAATATCTGCAAATCCCTGAGGGTTTTTTGAAAAGAATACAGAAATATAAGCAAATTAATTTACTTTCTTTTCAGTATACTGTGGAAAAAACCTGGGGATATGTTAGAGGAAGATAAGTGTTTTTTACCCCAACAAAAACAAAATATGCAAGAATGAACATGTTGACTCTCCAAAGAGCGTTACCTGAGGAAGGCCTCTTTTTTTGGCTCTCGCAGACACCTTATTGGGGTCAGCTTGCAGCATTCTTCCGTACTCTTCACAGTGCTCCTTGTCTTCAGCCCATGCATAGCCTTCTCGCAGGGACCAGTCTACTCCCATCTCCAAGGCCTCCTCTAAGTCCCTGAGTAGTGATAAAAAAAGTGCTAGTCATTTTACAGTCACCCAAGATCACAAAGGTGCACCATGTCTCAAAAGGAAGGCTATCTCCTATGTCTGAGGTACCATGCTAGACACAGAGTTCATGCTCTTGGCCACTCCAGTTTTTTGAGGAAAACAATTTCATAAATAATCACAACATAAAACGGTAAACAGTGTATCAGAGATGATTACAGTTTATCTTGACATTCATATAGCCCACTGGAATTTCCAAGCCCACTGGAATTTCCAAATCCTACCTCTATTTGATTTGCCTACTACTGAATTCTGAAGTGGTGGTTAAGCAGCTAAGGAAAATTTATAATCATAACCAGCTATCACTATCTACAACTTTTCTTCATTAATAATTTGTTTAAAAAAATTACAAACAGGCCCTCCCTGGTGGCGCAGCAGGTTAAAGCACTGCACTGAGAAGCTAAAGCCACTTCCGCATGAGTTCAAACCCTGCCTGCCCAGGAGGAGACCACATGGCCAGAGGAGACCACATGGCGTGGCAGACCTCTCCTGACCCGCCCGCTGCTCCCCTCAGCAGTGTACTTCGTCGATCTGCCTGTTCTTCTCCCCACTCTGTCTCTGGTGAAGCCTCTCACCGCCCCTGAGCCTCTGGCCTGTATCGCAGTTCTGTATGTACAAATAAATAAATCTTAAAAAAAAAAAATTACAAACAGTAAGTAAAGCTGTGCAAATGTCCTCAGGCAACACAGGTTAAAAATCTATCCCCAGGGCCCTCCCTGGTGGCGCAGCGGGTTAAAGCACTGCACTACGAAGCTTAAGCCACTTCCTCATGAGTTCAATTCCCGCCTGCCCTGGAGGAGTCCACATGGCGAGGCAGACCTCTCCTGGCCCGCCCGCTGCTCCCCTCAGCAGTGTACTTCGTCGATCTGCCTGTTCTGCTTCCCACTCTGTCTCTGGTGAATCCTCTCACCCTCTCTGGTGAATCCTCTCACCCTCTGCATCTCTGGCCTGTAACCCACTTCTATATGAATAAATAAATAAATCTTTAAAAAAAAAATTAAAAAAAAAAAAAAAAATCTATCCCCAACCTCACAAAAGTGCGTTGTGTTTCTCCTGCACCTGCACTATGAAGCTGAGAAGCATCTTTTAAGCCTTTCGGAGGAAAAACATTTATTTCATGTTCATTTAAGACCCAGTCCTCTTCCAAACTGCTCACTGGAGAGAGCAGTTCCCTCCCCCTACAGCTGGTTTCAAGCATGATTCATTAGGGTAAAATTCCTATCTAAAATATTTGAAAAGTTATATAGGAATTTATTTCTAAGATCCAGGTGTTTGTTATTTATCCCTAGCAAAGTGGGGCTGCATGTCAGGGACCACGTGAAATTACACACTAAGTATTTTCCAAGATACTCATTCTCACTTGCTTTACTCCAAGTTCTTTTTGGTGGGAAGGGGAATTTGTAGCTAAAAACATTTGAATATTAATGTAGGTACATATATTTGAATAGAATGCAAATTTCACATGAATTTCAAAGTAAAAAAGAAAATGTTAAGGACATGTAACTATTAAGCGCACCATTTTGTGAAGTTTAAGGTGCAGTTTTACACAAGCTATGACACAGTCCCCAGCTACAAGGCGGTAAAGTTGCTCCCTCACTTTACTTCTCTCCTTCAGAAACATTTAACACTGAGCGGAAGCACACTGCCAGTATTATCACTCAAACAGGTGGTCACAGACAGATACAGGCCAAGTAACAAAACAGCACTGAGGTCCAGAATACAGCCTCTGAAACCAAAGGTCCTTGGCTGGAATGCTGGCTTTCATTCACGTGCTGATTACTACCTTTCTAAACCTCAGTTTCCTTCCTTGAAAATTAGGCATACTATTAGGGACTAATCTAGATGAAGCAGACGACACATACAGCACAGCACCGTACATGATATGCTCAATAAACGTCGGGGTGTTATTCTACTATAAACACTACTGTATGCCAGAGGCTGACTAACATCTCTAAGAAATGGGCTGGAACCTCAGCTTACGAAACCAATTTACGACTACTTCCTGAAGAGAAAGCAATCCATCCTCTTTCCTGCGTGTCCCACGTTGGCATGACCACGAGAGTCGTGTGGTTGTTATTTCTGACTCCCTTTCCTGCCAGCTTGTGCTCTTACTTGGCATTCATTGGGATGACACCCTTGGACCCCACGCCAACAGGGATGTGGTCGAACATAGCTTGGGCAAGCTGCTCCTTCACAGGCTGGACATCACTTTCATCTAAATTGGTTCTCAGCAAGCGTACACCACAGTTGATGTCAAATCCTACCCCACCTATAAAAAGTTAATCAAATATTAGCAAAATCAGGTAGTTGAGCAATTAACTATGGTTTCCCACTATTATTTACAGGATTAAAATAGCAGCCATTTATTTAACAATAACTGTTTTAAAATACTCAACCAAGTTGTTCTCTGGGTACAATCGGGTGACATATTCTGAAATCATTTAAAGTGATGTATATACTAACAGTAAACAGTTACTTTGTGGAACAAGGAAGTAGAGATGAACAAGTAACTTCTAGATTAGAGAATAAAATATGAATTAAAATGTCTCCTCTTTTTTTCTTGGCCACTCTTGTAAAGGGGCTGTGAATTCTATTCTTTCTCAAAGAACCAACTTTTGTCTTTGTTGATCCCTTTTCTTCTTCCATAATTTGTGCATTTCAGGCGCACATGCTCTCTCATGCTCGCTCTCTCCCCATTTCTATCCAAGTGTAGCACTAACAATATCCCACATAGACCAAAGTGTCTTTTATTAACGTTAAAATTATTTTATAGGTTCCATTACGGAGTTTTTTGATTCATGGGTTATTTAAAAGTTTACTGCTTACTTTAAAAATACATGTTTTTTCCTACTTGTTCTTGTTATGCTCAGCAAAGGATTGGTCCCCAAAAATATCTACCTCTGTTCCCCGCTGCCAGAGGCACAACTCCTCAAGGTGTTATTTAAACTTTACTTTTTTCCCCTCCCAGACCCTGGAAGTAAAGTTATTACTTCTGATGTGCAATACTCTCAGTGAAAAGCATCCCACAGAAGACTTATAGAATCAGAGGTGAACTATAATGAGTAATGACAACGAGGGCAAAAAATTATCAAGTATTTCCTATAAATGCCTAGCACTTTATACACATATATTGTGTACGTGCCTAGCATTCTTTCAAGTATTTTACACAGATGACCTCATTTAGGCCCACAGTAATGCTCGGTGACAACATCAGCCCCAATGTGCCCAGCAGGTAATTAGGTGCCAAGGAGGAGACTTGACAGAGAAGTGTTTCAGTTTGTTTTATAGTCAATGTTTGATTAGTGTCTGGTATAGAGTAGGAACCCAAGCAACTGCCTATCGTCTTATTTTATATAAATGCTTTCCTTGGTGTCCACAGTTAATTCTCTCTGTAAACAAGAGGAAAGAGATGCTAGAATATACGACTGAGGATACACACACAATAAGCACTTATTCTCTAGCTCGGAAAGGCAGCGCCTCAGAGAAGCTACACACCTGACAGCAGGCATGCAGTGACCTTACCTGGGGACACCACCGCTTCAGGGTCATTCATATCAAAGGCTGCCATATTCCCAATAGCAAACCCATAACCCGAATGGACATCAGGAAGTCCAATAGATCGCTGAAAGGGAATTAAATAGTAGAATCAGTTTTTCAACCTGGCAAGTCTGCTTGTGTGACGGACCTGGTACTGCTTCTCAGTAAGCCATGGGCTGAAGCCTGTCCCTCATAGGATTGTAGGCTCATGGGCGTTCTCACTGCTGCCTGTGACTGTAGGCGTCTCTCTTTTTTCCTTTCTCCTTTTTCTAATAAACATGTCCTTTTAAATTGCCAAAAAGGATTTTGTTTCATGGGATTTTCTGTTAGTGGAAATTAGGTGCAAAAGCTAATCATAAAACTAGATATTGAAAGGAAAAAGCAGCCTTTAGAGTATGACCAATAACCAAGGAACCTAAAACAAAGCTTCAATCTGAAAAGATGTAGATGAACCACATACTAATTTCAATGTATTAATATATAATATAGTTTAAAGATGTTCTCTACAAATACTGACAATTTGTGTGTGAGCCAGATTAAGAGAAATATCCGATTTTGACGGTCCTTGGCACGCATGCAATCATAGACAAATGTAACCCATTCGACAGTGGGAATATGCTATGCTGTCTACATCTGGGGTCTAGAAAAGGATGCTGACTGTGGATGAATGCAGGCGAAACACGTGGGGAAATACTTTGTCCTCAAATGTACAAACCACATCTTTTTACCCCCTGCCAGTGCCTGCCTAGCATGGTACCTGGAGAAAATGTTGAATGGATTCATCTCAACATCCATCACAAGTGGTGGGCAGTGGCGGTGACCACCCAGTGCTACCCTCTCACTGACACTACCCTCCATTCCAGCCATGTCCAGGAGAGATATACTGTCGTCCCTCCCTCCTCTCTCCTCAGTCCTAACCTTTAAACCTGTCACTCCTCCAATCACCTTCACAAACGGAGCCAAGTGAAAGCTACCAGGGCAGCAGTACATAACGATGATGTACCATGACAAAGAAATTAGGAGACATAAAAACAACTTCAAAGGTTCCTGAATGCTTACAGATTCTAGTCAGAAACAACCAGAGTCTAAAATGTTATCTAAGCTCGATAATTTAAGTCCCATGATTGTTTCTAGATGGTGAAAGGTTGTCTAGTTGCACCACTGTCATCAGGCATAAGTATTCATCCATAGCCACGAACTTCAGATTCTAGGAAAATGAATGACTTAAGCTCTGGAGTGGACTCACATGAACAATCCCAGGCAGGGCTGCCACATTGCCGATCTGTTTCATGGCTGGCAGGAAGCCACCAACACCTGAAGACATAAATTGTGTATTAGTAAAGAGGACACATTCAATGTTTACCAGTAAGTATGTTCATGGTCTGGACTGCACTGAAGGAAGGGGCAGTAGTTAGCATGACCAAAACGACACTGCACACGGGGCCATCTGAGGCAGAATGGGCAGCACGTGCACTGAACAGCGAGGGCAATCAGACCAGTGCTAACGTGTGGCCAGTGTTCTGGGCACAGCCGAGAAAGGGCTGCTTGCAAATATCACACTGTGAGATATAAAACGTAACCATTGAACGCTATGCTGCCAATATAAAACATGCATTCTTTCAGGAGTTCATATTACTTAAAAAAACACATCAACACTGGTTTTAGTCTAAGCAACAAAAGAGGGCAATATTAAAGAGCTGGGAAATCACTGGAATGAGAACTGAAGGTTATGGAGTTTAATCCCAGATCTGTCGCTTGTTTGCTGTGCTATTTTAGACATATCAGCAAACCTGGAAGGGAAAGGGTGAGGTTTACTTTGTCGATTAAATAATAACAGGGTTAAAACCAGTTACCTATTCCACCATCATTATCTGGGAGCACTGTATGTTTATCTCTAAATCTTAGTGAGGTCCTGATGGAGAAATTTAGTAATTTTATAGGTGAACTAACTGAGGTTCAGTGAAGCTAATCAGTGTCCTGGTTAAAAATACTGATTTTGGGCCCTCCCTGGTAGAGCAGCGGGTTTTTAAAGCACAGCACTAAGAAACTAAAGCCACTTTAGCATGAGTTTGATCCCCGCCCCAGAGGTGACCCACAGGGCACAGCAGACCTCTCCTGACCCGCCTGCTGTTCCCCTCAGCAGTGTACTTTGTCAGCCTGTTCTGCTTCCCACTCTGTCTCTGGTGAATCCTCTCACCACCCCTGCACTTCTGGCCTGTACTCTAGTTCTGTGTGCATAAATAAATAAATCTTAAAAAAAAAAAAAACATACTGACTTTGGGGTCAGACACTCCTGAATCTGAAATTCTGACTCTGTCACCAAGATGTTATATAAATTTGGACAAATTAAAATAATCTCATTGAATTTCGACTTACTCATCTATAAACTGGAGATATCTTCCTTTCAGAGTGACTGTAAGAATTACCTGTGATAATCTATGCAAAGCATCTGGTAAAGTGCACAATAAATGGTAGCTCTTGTTATTATCAGTCAAGGTTAGCTGCAATACCAACCAGGTCTGCCTAGGTCCAAATGGCTTGTCCACAGCTAGGCGGCTAGCAATGCCATCACAAATAACAGTTTTTTGGTCTTTCTTTAACAATATTTTTGTATTTTAGAACTAATTATTTGGATTATCATTTTCTTTGGGGGTCACAGGGAAGACCTACTTGAGCTGCATGTAAAACTCTAATGTACTTACCACCACCTCGACAAGCATTCCTTAACTCCTCAAACATTAGTTTTTCCAGAGCATCGTTCACATAGAAAACTCCTTCAACCTGGTACCAAGAAAAGGAGAAATTATCTGAGTACATGTACATGATGCATAGGGACTGGACAGAATACCAACACTGTATGCAACATTCACTTTACTTTAGTCTTTTAATAAAAGGTTCTCATATTAAACAAGCAGAAAACTTCCTATCAAAGTATAAGACGTTCCTATCTCTACATCTAAAAACTGTGTATCCTGTGATGTTTGCAATTATCTTGTTTATTCTATCCTCAAAGCAACTTTAATTCTTAAGCATTCAACAGATTTTATTTTTGTGTGTGAAGTCTTCCCTATGATCTCACTAAAGTCAAAGGTCTTAGAACTTTTGTGC